CCAGTACAAGCTTACTCTGGCAGTAGAAAATGTTGATAAATCCACAACTTCTTGAATTGAAGAGAGTGGAAATGGAAACCTATTCTTATAGCACAAAAATTAATTTGTACTACAGATTAATTCCCCCTTGATACCCTCTACTTTGCTTCACAGAAATAAGGGGGACACCAATGGTGTAGGGAAGATTTCTAATTTCTCCAGGGTAAGCTAGGGATTTTTTTGTTTCTGTAAAAGGTGAGGACTAAATGTGTATTTCACATTAAGATAGAGGGATGATCATGGACGATGTATAATGTCAGAAATTCACCAACAGCAAAGGGGAATAATGCCACACAATTTCCATAGTCAGTGATATGTTGATATTTAGATGTTACTTCATTGTAATTTGGTTTGTTTTTTTGTACAGCATGGCTGCACTTAATAGCTACCAATAGCTTTCACTTCAAGTTCATCTTCGGTCTACATCACAGCCTGTCCTCAATCTTCTTCACTTTAATCAGCTCCCCCCTCCGCCCCTTTGGCACTTTGCTTCTTGCTTTGGGTAGATAGTTTTTATTTGAAGTTTCTTAACAATCAGAAAGCTCTGCATTTGTGAGATGATTCAAGAAGCTTGTGATAACAAAATTGAACAGTAAGTATTTTAGACAGGAACAATGGACTCCCCTTTGGTCATGTAAGAACCTATAGGAAATTACAAATCAGGAAAGAGAAAACGTCTCCCCCCCCCACTCTGTTTTTTTATTTATTTATGGAGACAAGATGCTGCTCAGGTCTAAATTTCCCAGGCTAGGCTCGAACTTTCAATCTTCCTTCCTCAGTCTCCCTGAGTGCTGGGATTACAGGCATGCACCACCTGGTGCCAAACTGCAAGAATCTTTAAAACATTGGTCCTTCTCAAATACTTAGTTTAGTTTATACAAGCTTATTTTATAAAGAGAAGACAGGATCAATATATTTTTCTTTCTTCTGAACCAAGTGAATGATTCACATTTATCAATAGTGGTCTCATTGTTTACACCACCTATTTATGTCTTCTTAGGAACCCAAAACAGCAAAGGAACGAATATGAGCTTTTAGACAGAGAAATCTGGCAGAATGTTGATTCTTCTGTGTTGAAAACATTATTTAATCCTAATAAGCTCCAGTTATTTTGCTTGTAATTAAGCCAATAGTAATTTGTAGAATTTAAAAATACATCTACAAATATTTTTGACCTATATACATACTGTATAATCATATATATATAATTGTTTTATACACACAACAACACACACACACACAGACACATATAAATGCAAAGCACAGTGCTAGGCACAGACAAGATAAACTGGTATTTGTTCAATCTGGCTCTTGAATCAAATGACAATTTGTTTGCCAAAGTCTTCTCCTCAAGTCATGAGCACTTCTATTCCCTACGTCATTTGGCCCTCAAGACTTATGTATACACTAAATGAGAAGACACAAATGACCACCTCCTGCATTAAAATTCTAAACTCATTTCTCTCTCTTTTTTTTTTTTTTTTGGTACTGAGGATCAAACTCGGGACCTTGTACTTGCATGGCAGGCACCGGAACCACTGAGCTAAACCCCCAGCCCTAAACTCATTTCTTGAAATTATTATGAAATGTTATTCCTGATTAGTTATGAAGGAAATATAGATTATCATTATATTATTTCACTAGTCACTGTAAATCATCCTTCATTTTCTGTCAATCTAGAGAAAAATATTTTCAGAAAATATGTATATATCAAAAACAAATACCTTGAACATAACACCAAACTATTTATACAGGTCCATCAGATGCTTTTTAAAGGACAGTATATGCTTTTTTCAAATGTTTCTTTAATTTAAAAAATTATAAATTAGGAAACCAGTCAAAAAAGTAAGAAGCCCATTTTGTTTCACACTTACAAATGAACTAAATGTTTTCAAAAGAAGAAAACAATTTCTTAGGAAAATTAAATTATGAAATGAGATTTTGTGACTCATCTTTTAAAAACCTATGTAAAAATATTTAGGGAATATTTTTCAAATGACAATGTTATTCAGTCTTTAAATTAAAAAAAAGAATTTCAATTATTTATCTTGTAATTTGACCCTTCAAAGTCACCTGAAATATGCTTATGTATAGAAGTATAGGTGCTGAGTATTACTGCTGCTTTAAATAAACTTAAATTGTGTTTGTAGTGTTTACTTTTCCTATTATTATATATTCTTAAAAATCTGATAATAATGGAGAGAAGTTAAATAATAGCAATTTATTAATTAAAGCAAATCAATTATGTGGTTCAATTAATTATACTAAAAAAATCTTTGATGATAGCAATTGGTAGTTTAGAATTTTAAATGTCAAAAATCAATTCCAATGAATAAAATTCACTGTAAATAAAAATCTCTACCCACAAGCAATTTTATCTAATTTTTATATTACTTGGTTGTTAAAGTTCTGATAAACATAGGGGATGACAGTGCCTACTATATATTTGGTAGACACAGGGGACAATTTGAAATATTTATTTCCTAAAGCATTAACTTCATAAAGTTCTATAACATCTAAAGACTCTTCTGAACAGCAACATTTACAAGAAAATAAAATCAATATACAATGTAATTAATTGCCTAGTAATTTATTTTCACAGGGAGATGTCAGCACATATATGACATCACCTTTAAATACTAACAATTTACTTTATTCTTTTTTTTAATTCTATTAAACTTTTCTTGCCATGTAAATTTAGAATGTATAACATGATGTTTCAATACACATATATGTAATGAAGTATTATAACCTGCATTTAAATTGACTGCCAATGTTTACTTCTAATCAAATATGGTTAATTTAACCAGTTGGATCTCGGCAATACCTCCAGTAATGGAAAATTATCATTTACCAATAATGTCTTGAGTGCAACAGTTTGTATCTTTATTGTCTGTCCAGATTCTTTTCACATCAGGTCTGGAATGAAAAGCTAAGTCACAAACAGAGGTATTAGAAGATACACAATAGGGCCACTGTTCCCTGGAACAAATCAAATTTTCAATAACTCTTAAGGTAATTTGAGGGCTTGTATTACATAATCCTTCAACAAATAATTAAATTTTATAGATGTTACATCTAACAGGCCATTCTGGTACCTTGATATACATAACCCATAAAATAAATTAAAAGTAAATCAAAGCAGATGGTTGAAGTTCTTGATTCATGAAGAAACTATGGAAAACTTTAAGCCTGGATTAATGTCAAATATTTACGTTGCTGGGTTTGGCAGCAGAGGTGGGTTCTCAATAGAGATGACACATCACAAATGATGTGTTCTATTCTCCCAAACCATTCATAAAATGCCTTTCTGTTATGCAATGGGAGCACTCTGCTTGGTTAATGAACTCAGGCTTATATTTAGCGTAAACTGTCCATACATAGAAAGGAGAAATATGCTCATCTTTACTTAAAAACACATTTAAGCCAGATACTTAGGTAGAAACACCTTTGTACCAGGGCCTTTTGTGTTTCTCAAGGAAGTAAATCCAAGAGCGTTGCTGAAATGGGGAATCCAAACATACAATAAATGGTAAACAAACAATAAACCTCACACAGGAAAGCAGTGGTCAGGGTCTACCAAGTCTAAATGTTATTTTCTGCTAATATTGGATACGAGAAAAAGAGCACTTTGGAGACTCCCAACATTGGCTTCCCTTTCCCTAATGTGTCCACTAAGCAGAATTCCCTTTATTCAAATGCCGGTGAAGAGTTCTCAACTCCAAGCCTCACTGACCTGCCTTGAATCTCTGAATTTACATGGTACTCACAAACCTGGAAAGCCAAGAGGAATGATCAATGCCACCAGAAGATTGCATGTTCCTCTGACTTTTGTTTGCTCGGTTTTCATTTTTCGGTAGACACTTTCCTACCACCACCCCACCACCCCTTTACCGTAAAGATAATGAACAGCCCTACCCTTTATCCAGACCGCCCTAATCACAACCACACAGAACGTGGAGGACCCAACTCAAATCCCAGAACAGAGACACCTCTCCGAGAGTGGCTGCATAGACCTTCCCTTAGGTAGGGCAGTTTGTGTGCGGACCAAGGAGAAAAGCATTTCTCAATTCCTCCCGAGGCCACTCTTTTTGCGTAGACCCACCTGCATGGGCGCTTCGTGTCTCATTGTAGGCAAATATCCTTTCTCTCTGGTTAGGACGGTGCTGAACCGGGCGCTTGGTCAAGAGTGCAGCCCGCGCGTTCCACGCTCCACACTGCACTCTTGGGTTTCTCCAACCGGCTCCAACATCAGCACCAGAGCTGTCCGCTCCAGGCGCTGCGCAAGCGTACTGCCCGGCAGCCCCGTGCTCTTCTGGGAGTTGTAGTCCATCCGTGCAGGGCTTCCGTGAATATGGGAGTGTCGAGAACTACATCTCCCAGGAAGAACGCAAGGGACACTTCGCTCCTCCAGGGGCAGAGGGGCGAGGAGCCTCCCTCCTTCCCCTTTCGAATCGTTCCTGGGTGTTGTTACTGCTCTCATCCTCTCTTACCCATTTTCTCACGAGGCACCGGCGAAAGTGACCCCAGTTAGTTATGGCTGGAGATTTTTCTTAGTTAACTGTCTCTTTGGGAGCCAGACCGTGCCTCCCCGGGTACTACTTTGTGCTAATTTTCATTACAAACGAATCGTTCTGGGACTTTCCGCCTTACCTCTGTTCACCTGGAATCCGGAAAGTTTATACATTTTCCTAGGCTGAATGGGGTAGTTTTCAATCTTATTCAACAAACGAGAAAATGACAATGAGTAGCACGCATGTAAGGAAAGTGGTTTATCTGCATATTCCACTGAGAAGGCGCGCGCGCCCACATACATACTCGTGCGCGCGCACACACGTACATACTCGTACACACACACACACACACACACACACACTCACACACAAACACACACGCACGGCCCAAAGTCCGCGAAAGCGAGATTTTTCGCTGGACACGCTGAGGAACTCGCTTCTGCTTACCTTTCCATACAGCTCCATTGCAACGCGCGGCTTCGAAATTCTCAAGTTAATCTTGCTCCCAATGAGGTTAAGGGCTAAGGCTGGAAGCAGGGCTAAAGTGAAAAGGCACCACACAATGGAAGACGGGGTAGGGGTAGTGGCGGGCGGAGAGGGGAAGGAGGGACGCGAAAAGACGGCTGAATTCGATGGACGTCTCCTTTCCTGTGGAGGGAAGCGTGAACTCTCCAAGTGGCAGCAGCAGAGAAAGAGCTGCGAGTCTCTCAGGAAGTGCGAGGGGCGACACACCAGGCAGCCCCTCCCCGGCACCTTCCTCCCGCCCTCTCTGCGCGCCGCACCCCACCCCTGGCCGCGGGTTGGGGGAGCTGATGGGACACTGGGTTATTTACCCAAAGCAAGTCACATAAAATGAACACATCAACAGAGCCCACAAGCGCAATCAGGGAATAAGACGGGAGGCCTCTATTAAGTTATCCTGTCCTTTCTTTAACATAGAGCCATTCCTTATACTGCAGTAGCACTTCTAGACTAGTTCATTACACGGTTTGAAATCTTTGAACTGTACTTTTGTTACACTTAACGTTTTCCATCAGCTGACTGATATGCATGACTCTTTGTGTCCTGTGTACCTGTCTAGAGACAGCTCTCTCCTCCTAAGAGTGAACGTTGATCATCCAGCAATGATCCCTGCCTTGGCATGAGGTAAATTTATTATATTGGAGGCTGAGTACAAAAGAGAATGGTAGTCTGCAGGAAGGCAAGGAAGAAAATGACTTGAATCAGCTTTAAACTTCATTGCATTAGACAAAGCAGAAGAACGGAGGTTCTGAAACTCAAATGTGCCTGTCTCTTGGAGGGGAGGACCAACATGCATATTCTCCAAATCACGTGTAGAGATTCTGATTGACTAGATCTGATGAGAAGTCTGAGTATTAGCATTTTTAAAAAACAGCCCAGCAATTCTGATGCAAGCAGTTCTTTTAATTAATTTGAGAAGCATTGTCTTAGAAAAATTTTTATGTAAGACTTTGTCAAAGATACAAACCGTGAAAATTTCACCATATAGATTCAATAATGTGGCAACCATGTATTCTAACCCATCATATTCTAACTGCCAGATTCATTTGAGCCTTTGTTTTTTGTTTTGTAGCAATCTAAGTTCATGCAATTGGTAAGAATATATTGTGATATCATCGAGGTAAATAAGTTCTATAACTTCTCAAAAAGTACATTTTAAAGTGTTCACCTCAGAGTTGAGGGTTCTGTGATATTAGAAAAATTTAATTTAAAATAGCTAATAAAATTAAAAAATAAAAGATAATCACATATCAATATGTTTCATGATGACACATTCCTACAAGAATTCTGAAATTTTTAAATTAAGACAATCTAATGGTACATTTTTTATAAAAGTTATTTTTTAAGAGAAATAGCAGTGAAATAATACACTTACATGTGTAGAATTATTTGTCATTTAATATTTCACAGTTAATTAGGGTTGGCTTTCTCAGAACAATGTAATTTTGGAAATCATCAAAGTTCTTAAGATTCAGAGTCCAATATAAAACATATTTAAATACTATCAATATATTCAATTTATGTATTTACTGTTGTTTGGGAAATGTATCCCTTATCAATCTTTTACTAAAAATTATATACATCCTTGGTTTTTAAATATGTCCTATTTGTGACAGGATCCGTGGAAATTGAGTTTAAAATTGTAGAAACGTAAAAGGTCTTTGGAAACTTATTGCTGTCCTACTCATAGTGCTTTAGTTGAATATTTAGGTGGGTAGAAGAAGGAAAATAAAATACACTCAGAAGTCTAATAAACAGAAGTGGAGCCGATGATCTCCCTAAAGTCAAAGCAGCATCAGAGCACTTTGATTTGGTTTGACACCAGGCCACCATCTAGGAATCTTTCCCAGAGGGACCAAAAGGTTATTGAAGCTCTAGCTCTTATGGCCACAGTCTAGTCAGCAAGAAGGAAGAAAAGATCAGATGGGCAATACCTCATCCCTTTATAAGTATACATCACTGCTCTTATATTCTGGTGCCTACTACTCAGTCTTATGATAATAAATGTTCTAAAGGAGGATAGGAAACGTCTTTTTTCACAGAACATATGTTTGGCTAAAAATGAGGAATTTTGTTACAAAGAAAGAAGAATGGGATGAAAGGCATCGGGAAGCAGCTGGTAGTCTACCACAGAACATCAGATGACTGTAACATAAAGCTGGCTGCTTCCTCCCTTGTACAGTTGTACTGAAACCTGCATCTCTAACTTCAAAATGCACCTGTTCCCAGGGATCTTTGTAACTGAAGAGCAACAGAAGACTTAAAATCAAGTGATTATCCAGAAGTTAGAATATTGTGGCTTTTGTTGAGAAAACAGGAAAAGAGGAAAGCCTTCTCCATTTACACTTGAATCTGGGGTTAGGAGTTGATATGAAGATGTTAAAAGGCAGATTGTACTTTATAGAAAGGAAAGGGACAAAAAAATAGTGAATGTGAACACTCACCATATTAGAATGTAGAGCAGGCCCAAAGCTGCTAAGCCCCAGTGAAGGTAAGTGGCTGTCCACAGTCACAGAGCATTGGCGAGGTAACTGGGATGAAAACTCCTAAAGTGCTGCTTGGATATTCATCTTTCTTTGTGCTGCCTCACGTCACTGTTTAGATAGAGGTTTTGCTGCCCTATGTTCATCTAATAATTACTAGCATTCACAATGTTGTTTGTATACATATAGTTCATCTATTATTTACTTTGCTCTTATCAGTCCATGACTGCATCAGCTCCATAATTTAATTATTTGGCCAAAAGATAGCCAGGAACAAGGAAACTTAAGTATTAATTAATAACAATGATTTTGTTGATATCAAAAATAACAATAAGCTGGGTATAATGGCACATGCCTATAGTCTCAGCACTCAGGAGGCCGAGGAAGGAGAATTGTAAGTTGAGGCTAGCCTGGGTTACAACTGTAAGTTCAAGGTCAAAGTAGGGGCTACACAGTAAGTTCAAGACCAGACCTTGTCTCAAAAATAACCTAAAAATCAAAAGACATTATATTTCTACCATCATCATTATCTCTACAAAGATTCATGCTGAAAAAATTCACTCAGGTTTTGATAGAAAGATTAAGGACAACCTCTGGGGATTCATTATCACCTTCATGCAACCCTTATTCAAATCCACAGTTCCAAATATGGTAGGATGTCTAATCTTGCATATTTCTGGGGACTATCTCCAATTGAGTGAGAAATTTTTCTAGCCTGAGCCTTACTGTCTTTGTCTGACTCACCATGTTGAGGTTAGCTTTAATTTCAACTTTATGCAGCGTCTAAGAAATGGTATTGATTTCCTCAGGTTCCCTCAAGAAGAATTAAATATTCCCAATGGCAGTATTGATTGTTCTTAAATTAAAAGAAAAAAATAGTTTAACTCATTCCTACACATGAGGTTTTCAACATTATAAGTAATCAATCTCAATAAGGCACTTCATAAAAATTAACATACTCCAAGTGAATGTAAAGAAAATAATGCTTTCTGTCCACAACGTAAATATGATTCTATTAATGACAGCTACTCTTTTTTTAGTACTCATACTATGGTATGCACTTTATTTATATTATTGCATTTAATCCTCAATAGCAGAACATGGTAATATTATTAACCTTATTTTATTAAGAAGAAAAATAATAGGTTGAGGAGAGATAAGTATTTCACCTGAAGAATATCAACTAGTAAGATGTTGAACTGGGACTTAAAGCTCAGGGTTATCTGATTCCAAAGCCTGGACTTTACCAAAGATTTTCTCATAAAAGTTAATATTACTTACTTATAATATATCTTACAATCTCTTACACAGAAACTTTTCTATGTTTCTTTCTTGTTTACTTTGTTTTATAATGAGGATACAATTATAGCCTTATCATAAAATTATAGTTATTTATATTTTTAAACTCTACTTTTAAATTTGAAAACTATCAACATTTTTAGATAATTATCAATTCATTTAATTCACCAGGAATATTACTAAGGTGTTTCATATCAAATTCTTATCTTTTGGTAAAGTATACGTTTTGTATTCCCAGCTCATAGAAGATATCTGTAGAATAAACAGATTCTAATTATGAGAAAAAAAAGAGAAATACTGAGCAATATTCCTCACATTTCACTCAAAGTACTTATTCAGCTACAGGTTTCAGATTGCTATCATTGGGTAAGGATTATGTGCCTTACCTCTTTTTTTAAACTTTGAAGAATCAATGAGTAATTATTATGTTTTTATTTTTAAAAATTACTGCTCTTATAAAACTATTATAATTTGTGGTAACAATTTTATAATTAAGTCCTGACATAACTATGTGGAGTTCAGATGTTAAACGTTCCAATGGGGTTCTGAGTTGGTGAAAGTGAGGCAACTGATAAACTGGTTTTGAGGATAGAGGGCAGAGCGGCCCTTGACAGTGGATCCCAGAAGACTGGCAACAGTGCAGAGCTGCTGCAGTGAGAAGAGAAAGTACAATCCCGCACAGCTCAGGAACTGTGAGGGCTACCTGCTCCAGGTAGCAGTGTGGCTTTCTGAAGCTACTTCACTGTAGTCTGCTGGTCTTACATCTCAGAGCCAAAAGAAAGAAAGAAAGAAAGAAAGAAAGAAAGAAAGAAAGAAAGAAAGAAGAATGAGAATCTTAATAAGTATCTGTGTTCTGAATTTCCATAGAATTTTTAAAAAAGCAAATACTAGGAAGGGATCTTGGAGATAAGGTAGCAAAATCCATTCTTTTTACAGATAAGAAATTAGATCCCTGAAAAGTGCAGTCATCTGTTTGAAGCTCCACAGAACACCTGATACCATTACAAATATTGGGGAAAATGACAAAGTATAAATGAAATCATGATGTCATTTATTAACATAATCTTTTTACATATATCAACAAGGTCCATTAAAATATTTTTAGGTTTACCTATTCTAATTTAGTCAAAAAAAGACATCATCTTTATCTTCATCATCGAGGGGGCTCCAAATTAGTCTAGGAAATCAGACGTATAAACATGGTAGGTAGGTGGTGATTATATAAAACATCAGTGATGAGTAACACAAAGCGGTGCTTGGTTAACTACCTGCCTACTCTGTTCACCAATAACTGCTTTAAAGATTCATAGGAGAGTGTAATCAGTTCAGGGATATGCTAGGGAGAAGTAAATGCCTAAAGAAAAATTTAAGAAGGTCATTTAATTGTAAATATAGAATGAGAGACATAGAATAGGAGGCT